TTAATTGAATATTATGATTGGAAACACGGTGGTGCCAAGTAGATAAAGGCTGTTTTGAAGTGGACAAGAAATCAAAAGTGAGTCATTTTGTGCGAGAAGGAGATACATCCTATTTTTTTATAATAAAAATGCCTCCTCCTTGTTCATCATGGTCACATACTGAAAATAAATTTTTATGTAGATTGGGAAAATAAAGAATGTTTGTGAGACATATGATGTTTCCATTCTTCATGGATATCTCAACTTTGCCTTGGCCATAAATTGGAAGTGTTATATTGTCTCCAAGATGGATTCTATTTTCACTGAGTAAAAGTGGTTCAAAATGTATGAATTGTTTTTTTGTTGTGAGCCAAATGATGTGTGGCTCCAATATCAATGAACCATTTGTTATCTTTTGTTGCACCAGGTTTTGTTGGTTTATTGGAGCAATAAGCATGTGGAAGAAATATATGAGAGTAAAAGGTGGGAGATATTTCTTCTAAATTGTCAGATTTCTATTTTAACTTTCTATTACCATGAGATGTAGTTATTGTATTGGCGGATGATTTTATTTTGTAGTTTTTTGTAAAACATTTCAAATTCCAATGCCCCATTTTTTTACAATAGGAGCATGGAGTTGTTGATTTTGCCTTGTTCTTAGAATTTTATTATCCTTTATGGTTGGTTTAAAGTAGAATGTGATGGCCACTTGCCTTTGTCTTTGCAGTTGTCAAAAAGTACATGATATTCCATGGATGAACTCTTCATAGCAGTCTATTCTTGAAGTAGGATTGCAATCAATGTTGATAAAGTTGCATTTCCAGTGGTGTGGAGTGTTTGAATGACCATGCCATGTTGAGATGGCATTGACCTTTTAAAGGTGAGAATCTCCATTTGAGATGAAATTACTATTTCAATTGATTTACATTGTTGAAGTAACGTTCTAAAGTTATATAAATGTTGTATTACCATTTCGCTTGCTCTTAACTTTTTGTGATGAACTTTTCTTGTGGAAAAGCTTGTGTGAAAATGTCACTTATAGAATATATATTTTGAACACAAGCCAAACTTCATTAGTCGTATTGCATGCTCCTATATAAGAGAATATGGAGTTGTCTACATAATCCCATATGGCCACTAAAGCCACATGATCTCTTTTTTTCCATGTAGTGATGATAGCTTGATTTGTTGGTGGAGTTGTTGTTGGATTGATTTCTTGACTAGATGAAGGATGTTTTTCCACCCCAAAAACTAACTCCCATAAGTCTTCCATCTCAAATTTCATTTGAACTTTTTGCTTACAAATGGTATACCAAGAACCATCAAATTTTGGCCACTCTTTAATTGATAGGCTACTTGTAGCCATGTTGAGAAGGAAAAAAATATCAAATATCTGTGAAGAACTTCTTTTTTTATAGTTTCCTTCTACTTCTAAAAAAGATTTATTATATGTCTAAAATATTTGTTAATAATTTTGCAAAGTATCACTCTAATACCATATTAAAATAATTAAGCATAATAACACTCATCATTGTATAATTTGTATTGATTCTAAAGTTTGATAGAGCTTATATCCAGTCAAGGGAGGTCAGATTGAACAGTCGTGACTTCTCGACTGGCTGTGGATTAACCGCTGACTATACCATTACTTGTGATTAATGTTACTAATATGTGTGCTAGTAACGAGCTAATCTAATACTCCGAAGTCGAGAAACCAAATTGTTTCTTCTAATATCTTAAAATACAAGGAGGCGGGCACTAAGATGTGGATGCAGTTTGATATTATCTTCTTAAATTATATAAAAAAATATATAAAGATTTATTTGAAAAAGAAATGTAAGATTATTAGCATTATCAATAGCATTTAAAAAAACCATAAGTTAGTCTTTTAGAGAATTTTGATAAAGCAAGTTCTAAGATTATCAAGCTTGTTTCTTAAAATGGGCTTGTTAACAAATCTTAATTTAAAATTTATTTAAACTTGTTATTTACAATTAAATTTATTATAAATTCATTTACAAGATATACATTGTTATAAATTTTATTATTTTTAAAGAAACAACATTATAATTTTGATAATTTAAGTTTCTTTTTTAAAAAAATCATTAATATTAAGAATATAAGATGCAATTTAAGAGCCAAGCAATAAGATTTATAGTATGTAATATATAAGTATAAAATAATAATAAATTTTTATTATATATATATATATATATATATATATATATTTGAATATAAATATAAAAAAACGATGTTGTGTGCATTAATTACTTATTTGAAAGCTTCAATATAGAGTTCTGAAATTAATTTTATTTCTACTAAATTCTTAAAATTTAAGTAAATATATTGATATTATAATTATATGTAATAATTTTCTTTTATATATTAATTGAATTAATTTATTATTTTTTCTAATATCAAATTTTACAAAAAAAACAAAAAACAAAAAAAAATCTAAAAAATTATAAATACACATTCTAAAGTAAAAATATAAAAATCGATAAAAATCAATTTAATTCGGTAATATATGCAAAAAAAATGATAATATTCATAAAGATAGAAAAAAATATATAAAAAAATCTAATACAATGCATTTAGAAATCATATTCATATATATATATATATATATATATATAGATAAATATTAAAATGACTCACCTATTTATTAAACAGATCCACTCTATCATAAATATTGTTAAAAAAACTGATCATTACTAGAAACCATTATCACAATCATAGCTCTCATCACAACTCTCCTTATTCCCAACCCATGCTTCCTTCATTCCTAGCCTTCTTCATCCCAACTCCTCTCATTCTGCTTTTTTTATTCCCAATTCTTATCTTGACTCCCTCATTCTCCACAATATTATTGGTCAATTTGTTAAATGGGTGGATCATTTAAATCTATATATATATATATATATATATATAATAGAAATGCTATGATTTTAATATTTTACATAGGTCTTGGTTTAAAAATATAATTTTTAATAAAATTGGAATATCTAATATTTCAAAATATATATATATTAATTTTTTATTTATAATAATTATTGATAAAATAGGTATAAATTTAAAATTATTAATTTTTTGTATATAAGACAAAGTATATTTATATGACCAAAAAATAAATCTTTTTTTATGCAATTAATGTATCAATACTTAAAATTACACATATTATCAAATATTATTAAGAAAAAAAAAAGGTCATTGCCTTTATATAAAATATTATATATATTGTAATGAAATTTAAATTTAATTTCAAGTAGTTTTTTTACTATTTAATATTTTTTTAAATAGATATTAAAAAATGAATCACTATAAATTCTTTAATTCTTTTTTTTAAGATTTGCATTTAAAATTTTGTTTACTTTAAAAGCATCAATAGCATTGTAATTGAGACTATTAGATGTATTCATATATATATATATATATATATATTAAAATTTATAAGATCTATCTATAATTATATTATAATTAACTACCTTTTTTAAAAAACCAAAATATTTTTTTAACTTTTTAACAAAGAAGATACTTTATAACTATCTTACTATAGCATTATTTGATCAACACCTATTTAATCTTTTATGCAATGATCAAGCTAAGTATCAATTGTTAAAACATGCATAATCAAGAAATAATTTAGAAATATTTATATTTTTATAATTTTTAATGCAATCTGTCTCTTAAAGTACTTTAGGAAATTTAACATTTTCAAATATTAAATTTATAAATTTTAATTTAAATAAAACTGAAATTAATTTTAAAAATAAAAAATAAAACAAAGATTTTTTTTATTACATGTTTTTAATTTAGTTACTAAAAAATATAATAGTATTTTTTCTATTATTTTTATTTTATCTTTTTTAAAGATTTAAAAAGATATAAAAAATTAATTCTTCTTTGTGATTTAAATATCTATTGACAAAATTATTTAGAATCAAATGCTTTCAAATCAAACTTTTCGGTTTATATAACAATGAAATTTCTTATAAATGTTATAATTAATAATATAGATTTAAATTTAAAATCAATTTTATAATTATAGTTTAAATAATAATATTTTTTCAATTTTTTTGAATAATTAAAAAATAAAAATGTGTAAAATACAAGAAAATAAATATGATATATCTAATACAAACTAAATAGAATCAAAAAAGGTTTTGAAAATTTATACATTATTTATAAATTTATGATTAAATCTATTAATATTTTTAGACTATATAAATACATATATTAATGCTAATAATTATATTAATAGTTTGAATAGTAAAATAGTGAAATTGTTTTAAGTCTTTTTTTAGAAATTTTAGAATTTTTAAAGGATAATCTTTAGAAATTCTATTTTGTTTATGTATAAAATCTTTAATTATTTCAAATCCAAACTATAAAATTTATATGCATATATATTATTTGTATTCATTTTATTTTATTTTTTGATAGGAATAAGATATTATTATATGATGTTTAGATATATTGTTGAGATATATTGTTTGCAATAAGTTTTATTATTGTTTTATATATTAATATACATCAGCAATTGGCTTCAACATAGTCCTCTCAAAGCAAAACAAGGGCGTTTAATGTTAGCATATTTCAAAGTGGCAATTAATAATTAAAAATCATATAAAAATCAAAGTCAAATCAAAATTAAAATCAAAGTCTTAACACAATTTAAAATTTACTTATCATGATTCAAAAAGGATTCAACTTATAGCTACAGAAACTGACAGAAAATTTGTTTTCAAGTAATGCTTTTTCTAATTTGCACAAAAACAAGGCAAAATGATTAATACAAAGTCATAAAACGTTTGATTTGTAATGACTTTAAACTACCAAAAGATGAAAAATTAATATTAATCAATTGGCAATTCAAATCCCACTGTAAAATCCTTGACCTTGCCTAGTAGAGTTTGATACAAGAATAATGAGCATTTGATGTTTTCAAAAATAAATAAACAAATGAAAGACCATGAACTACTCTACCGCATGAGATTCATTTACTGTTTGTAGGCATGGTATTATAGCTTATCTGACAATTTTTGTGATTATGCGCTGATTATGTGATCAGATACTATGAGATAGGATCCAATCATCTTCCCAACGCAGTTACAAACAGAGTTGCAGCTTTATGTCAGAATTTCAGAGCCTTGAGTTTACTCCTTATCACTTGTCAATAGGTCTGCCTAATAAGTAAATTCATGAAACTCTAACCCAACTCGCCCAAATGTCTCTCATGCTGCATACCTTTTAGTGGTATAAGGGTATAAATTCACTGTATTTCCATACGAAATCCCTTGCAATCTTTAACCTCTTCATTACACTCTGGTTGAGTTACATGAGAAAATGTTCTCAAAATGCAAATTGAATCAATGCAGCTTGTCAGCGAGTTGGAAATCTGAACTCACCAACAATGTCTTCAATTTGCACTGAAAAGTTGCAATATTCCTTATGCAGCACCAGTAATTTCAGCTTCAGTTTCACCTTCAGTTCCTGATAAACTGTTGTCAATGAGGAAAGGAATGATTCAAAAGACGTATGCGGTTTAGATCAAGGACTTTGAGCCATCTCAAGAACTCCACTGCGTGAAAATCGAACCCCACTGCATGCAGTTACGAAGTGATTCCTCGCAAGATCAGTCAGGCATACAGCTCTCGCAAACAACAGACAATGCAGAGTATGAGCAATGTTTGAGAGCATGGAAATATCAAAGCAGCCAAACACTGAGGCAACAATCAGAAACCCAACTCGGAGTCCGAATATAACGTAAGAAATGTCTGAGCACAATGTAACAGCTGTAATAAAACAAAGAAAAACAAATATCAAATGAATGTGGAGAAATCAGAGTTACCGAGACACGGAGGGATTCGGTAGGAAGCCCTAAATGAGAAATTTCACCCACCTGCTGTTTGAGCATGCGTGTTCATGAACTCCCCCTCCCTTCCTTTTTCTACAGTTAAAGGCGAAGGAACCAGAAATTCGGGACAAGATTTTTCCCCAGATATCGTGAGAAAGAATCAACGTACCTTGCGATGCTCATGGACGCCGTTAATCTCGGTGCGAGCTCAGAGGGTGTTTTCCATGTGGGAGCATCTGGCACGCTTGAATGTCACAGAGCCAGACCCCAGTTGCTGGAAACTTGACAAAGCGAGCAGTTATGGCGAGATCAAGGCGTGGAATCGTCACAGAATGGGTTAGGATTCGCTTCCTTCAACCGATTGCTCCGCTGCCGCCCCTTCGCACCGCCCTGTCCTTCACTGTCTTGGCTGCTCTGTAACGCTGCTGAGCAAATCTCCAGTTATACTGCATCTGGCGAATTGCCAAGCTCTACAATGCTCGAAACTGAGCGTCGGATTCTTTTCAAACGAAATTCCCCGTTCTAAACATTATGTGAGCGTATGTGAGTGTATGTGAGTGAGTGTGGGGTCGTATCCGCCATAACCTGTCGGCGCTGCAAACCATTGCAACTCAACTGGCATCTGGAATCAAGCTTTGGCATGAGCACCCACATAACGAGGTGGAATATCGAGGAGGAGCTTCAGCCTCATTGCTCTTCTATCAAATACAATCTCAGTTATGAACTTTGCATGTCTTTTCTTTTCCTTTTTTGTAAAATTATTATTATGTGTATATTCTTTAGAAAATATTATAAAAATAAACTAGGTTTAGAGTCTTTTTTTTCTTTTTTTTTTTTTTTTTTTGTGATTGCAGATTTGTTATGTAATAAGCTTTGAGTTAATTCCTTTTTCTTTTTTTCTTTTTCTTTTTTTTGAGGATGTGAACCTTCTGCACATAGTTCGTTTTTTGTTTATACTATTGCATTTAGATTTTGTGAAAATAGATTTGAAAAGGCTTTGAAAAGTTATGAAGTAATTGAAAGTTTAAGAATGTTTTTAAAATGATTGTGAATGGTTTTTAAGAACAATGTCTTACGTAGAAGGTTCTAAAAGTCTATAGAAGATGGCAAAAGGCCATAATAGTTTTGTAAAGAAATTTATATGTTGTATGTCTCAAGAAAAATAAATTTACAAAATTGATTCTTTTGTTTTGCATCATTCTTTAGCCAGTATTTCTTAAAATTGCAGGTTTTTCTAATAACCTTTTATCTTATTCAAAGCTAGGTGCAGAATTTGATTTATATTTCAGGTTTTAAAAGAATATATTTTCATGATACAATTCAGCCTTACTTTGTAGTGATGTTATTTTAATATGTACGTTTATAGAGGTAAAAAAATATTTTCTAAAATTAGTTTTATTTGTTAATAATTAAAAACTTTAAAACTTTTATATAAACATGTCCATTGTATATGCTCAAAGAATCAAAGAGGCATCTGATTGTTAATTTCTTTTGTTCATAATTCAATTTTGGATACATGATTTTAGACAAAGATTGATAAAAAAAAATTAAAAATATGCATAATTAAAATCACACTAATAAATCAGATAACTATACAAAGATATTCAAATGATTTGTTTCCTACAAAATTAATTAATTAAATTAATTAAATTTATGGCTCAAAATAACATAACTTTTTATCAAGCTATGATCAATATAATTTATAAATAGTTTTTTTTTAAATAAATATATATATATATATATATATATATATATCGATAGAGAGAGAGAGAGAGAGAGAGAGAGATTATATATATATATATATATATATATATGTATACACACACATACAATATAAATATGGTATGCTAAAACACCACAATTTTGTTATTCCACAAAAATTTCCACCAACATAACATATTGTTTAGTTATTTACTCCAATCAAAAAATATTAATATTTCTTATGTTTTAAAATTTCTATAAAAAATTAATTTGATTTCATAAAAGAGATTTATTTTTTATTATTTAATACAACTCATCTTAGTTTTTTTTTCTTCTTTAATATTCTTTTTATTTTATTTTATAATATTTTTATTTTTATTTAGAAGTAACAAAAAATAAAATCACCTCTATTATAAAAGTGTGTTGGTTTGCAAGAATGTATCAATCTTTATGTACGAGTATTAACTTTAGTATTCTAAAAAAAAAACTTCGTAATAATTATATGATGTTTAATTAGTAGAATATACAAATGTTATTGATTTGCAGTAAGTGAAGATAACTTATTTTTATTTTTATATTAATATTTTATTTGACGTATATATATATATATATATATATATATATATATATATATATATCAATACTTTTATCCCACATTTAAAAAAAAATTATCTCACATTTTAATACTTTTAATGCTATTATGATTGTTCACAAAAGTATAAGATTTAATTAGCTTTAATTTCTATTTTATAATATGAAGATATATAAAAATCTAAATTCTTATTAATTAAACTAAATTTTTAAAGATTTATAATCTATTATCAAATAAAATTCTATAGTTAAGTAAATTGACTAAAAACTACTAATACAAAAATATATTTTCAATATATTTTTATAAGAATCTTCAAACTATCTAAAAATAATATCTATAATTGATTTTAATGAATATAGTTTTTATTATTTTTATAATTGTGATAAACCAAAATTAATAAAATTAATCATGGACTTAACAATAATAAATATTTTAAATCATTATGACCAATATAACTACTTCTATTAGTAGACTTTTATATAAGAAATTTTTAAAAGATATTAGTTTGCTATTTATAACTTCTATATGCAAGTAACAACAATAGATTGAAATTTCTTATTTTTTTCTTGGAAACATATATTAATTTTAAATTAAACATAGTGATATTAAAAATACATTTGGACTATAGATTGTTTTTGGAAAAAAAAAAAAAAAAAAAAGATAAAGAATTATATAATTTATAACAATTTTCTTCTTGTAGTTGTGAATCCAATATAAAATAATACTATTACCTTAGAAGTACTTTTATTCTAATTATAGAACCTATTTATTATAAAAATCTCACATGTTTTATGATAGTATATGTCTTGAAAAATTAGGAAGTGTATTAGACATATATTTGCTACAATTAGTGTTCAATATTATATATTGACTTGAAAATAACAAGATTTGAAAAATATTCTATCTAAATTATTTTAACAATAAAAGTAAAAAGTATTGCTGATGGTTAACAGCAACCTGTTTATTCCAATTTAGTAGATGTTATTGAAAAACATTTAAAACAAACATTGGAACAATATTTGCAATGCACAATCAATTCTTTTAAAAAGAAAAAAAAAAATGGATTACTTTTTTATTACTAGTAGAATTTTTATATAATAGAAATATAATAAAAATAAAATATTTACATTTAAATAATAAATTATTATTTTTTATTTTTATAGAAAATTAATACAAAAAGTTTAGTATTATCTCTTGCTAATAAGTTCTATAATAAAATTTTGGCTCTAAAAATGTTCTTGATTTTATGTAATAAGACTTTTTGAATATTATTTTTAATCTATTATTAGTTTATTTTAGTAAATTATTCATAATTCAAAAGTAATAACACTTACATATCTAGGTGTATTTTTATTAATTAAAATTTATTATTTTCATAATTCATTCTTGATTTGATTTTTACTTTGACTTATTTAGACACTAAATATTTACATCATTGTAAAATCTATAATTTATAGAGTTAAATTTCTTATTTTTATTTTGTATATTTAAATTTTTAATTTGATTTTTTATATATGAATAAATATATATTATAAAAATTATATTTAAAAAATTATTTGATTAACTTGTTAATATGTGTTAATTTTTTATTCCTTAAATTTAAATGATAAATAATTATTAAAATTTAACTCACATCTGTTTTAAATATTTTTTCTATGATTTTTATTTAGGTTTTTTAAAAAAATTCTAAATACTTAAATGCCATTGATTTAAAATATCTAATCAGTGTAAATATGTAAATTTGAGTCATAATCTTAATCAATATATTATAACAAGCTGTTGATATCAAAACCTTGAAGATCTAGTAATTATAAAAATAATTATTTTAACTTAAAATATAATTATATGATTTATTTTCAGCACATTATTTTTAAATTTAGTTAATTTTTATAATAATATATGGTTTTCAAATAGATTTTTATTTAAAATAAAAAATCACAATTTTAAAAAATACTTAATTATATAGTTGTATAAGAATGAAGTATATTTTTGTTTCAAATCAAATTTCATTTATAAACAATTCACACCATTTAAAGCTTTAATAAAATCTCTACACAAAAAAATATAATATCTTCACAAATTGTAAAATGAATAAATAAATTCTAAGAATATTCATTTTGAATTAGATGGGACTAAATTCTTACATAACTGCTTTTGAGAATAACTACTACAATTTTGTTGTTGCCTCCTCTTGGAACATTTAGAGACGTTAACTTGTTGGAAAGTTAATATCTAATATTAATGCTAATGATAGAATAAATCACAAACTTCCCATAATACATGCAACCTGATTTTTTTTAAATCAAAACAAGTCTTAATAGAAATATATGTATTTGAAATCAAATGAAATTTTTTAATTTTACTAAAAAATTACAAACAATATCTATAATACAAAAAATTACAAAATTGCAATTATAAATATTATTCATATTTTTATAGGTTAAGAAATAAAGATGAGCTTGTAATTGTGTTTAATTGGTATTAAAGATGGTTTACTAGAAGTATTTAAGTGTACATGCATGCATGTAAATAAAACAGCATGAATTTTATAAACAAATTAATATAGTAGATTACAATTAACTATTTATGATACATTAATTAATGAAAACAATGTCTACCATTTGCCAATCCTCTACCCATTTCTAAAATCGTGAGTTCATTCATTCATTCACATGCATTTATACATATTTAAATATAAATATATCAAAAAAGATTTGGGTGATAAATAACTACTTTAGGGTATGAAATTGAGGACGAAAACTTGTCATCGAATCGTTATCTTACAAATCTTAGCCTGACGGCTAAAAGCAGTTAAACACACAGATTAGAATACTAAACTTACAGAATTAGTGTGTTTAATTGAGGATTAGCAATCAGGAGAGACTCAGAATCTTTGTTCTCATCAATGGAGGTAAAAGCAGCACACGGGAGTGGCCTACTAAGTTTAATTAGCCCCTTAATCCGGTGACCTAAATCATTGATTAGTTAATTCATTGACATGGAAGGTGAAAAGTTCCAATCAACTCCACGAGTAATGGAGATTAGAGTTAGATGTCCTAAATAAATCTCTCTGGGATTATGTTCAATTTCCACTATTGAGAGGTTGTTAACCAGCTCTTCTTGCTATTGGAACTGTAAAGTCTTTGGCAGAATGTAATATATATTATAATTAAAGACTTGAAAAAAATATTATCAATACAAACTGTTTTACATTATTTTAGTATAATTATGATTATTATTATTGATAGAATTTTTTCAGATTTATGTTTCCAATTTTTGACATAAAAGTTGTAGTAGTGCTATTTTTTCTATGATGTATGACTGGGATTTCACAGTGATTAATCTATACAAGTAATTTCCTTTAAACTTTAGTATTTGAATGATACCATCATTCTCATTCATATAGATACATTAAGAAATTTCCTTAAATAATATTATCTAACCATTTCTCCAAAACATACGTCTTTTAGTGAAAAAAATACAGTACAAAAAAAAAAAAAAAAAAAAAAAAACGAATTACTTAAAAGTGAGCCTTCATGAATTGATTGCAAAAGATCTTTGTCGAACACCTTTCAAGATTAGTTTTGGTATTAATTCTATAAGCTTTGATTTGTACCATAAACTATCAAGTTTTGACTTGATAGCTACCAGCTATTTTTCAAATAGTTTAGAATTCCCTAAGAAATTTTTCTATAGAAAATCAAAGAATGTAAAAAGAACTGAAATTAAGAATAAACTTTTATTTCAAAGGAATTTTCGTAATTGTTTTAGAGGTTTTAGTAAACAGATCAGAATTCATATCATATTAAATATGTTTGAAATCTTAAGAAATATCTATAATGAAGTATATATAACTATAACTATATATATTCAATATAAACAATCAAACCACAATACTTTGTAAAGAAACACTTATTAATACTATGAAATCCGAAATTACTTAAATTCTCTTATTAAATGCAAGATTATATATTATTTTAAAGAAATAAGGCTAAATTTTATATTCGATGATTAATCAGTTTACATATAAATATACATACTATTTTAGAAGAATTTAATATTGGAATTCGAAATTATGTTTTTAGAAAAGAGTTTATTCGATATTGGTTCTATTTTCCTTCCAATCTTACCTTCAGTTTATATGTATATGAGATATTCTTGTATTAATTAAAGGATTAAAAATGATAGTAGAATTGCTTATTTTAAATACCTTGGTTTATTTTTGAAAATTATAAATAACAATAATTTTAATAGTCATAATAATAATCGATTGTTATGTTTGATACCTGCCTAATGTTCTTTCAAATTAAAATTTCTTATATGCAAAGGACTTGATAGATTTGGATCTCTGGTAATAGGAATTACAATAACAATTAAAAGTAGAAGTGGCTTAGATAAAGATATCAATTTAGGTTAACAACAACTAAGATTATGGTTGTTTTTTTGTTTTCTTGTTATCCATGATTTAAAAAATTGCATGTACAAGTAAAACAAATTGAGTTGTATCTTACTTTAAACATTACTTTTCACAACTTGTGCATAATTTTATTCTATTGAACATAACAACAAGAACAATTAGGGTTTGAACCCATTATGCTCTCTATCCACACCACACATAGTGTGTGATAAGACACAACCAAACATTCTATAACTTTGTGATGATAAATCCACTGCGGGGATGAGTTTTGGGGTGTTTTTTTTTTGTGTCTTTCTTGCCTTTGTTTCTTAAGAAGGCTTCCCCACAAAAACATAATAAAATAAAAACATTAAAAAACATTTCTAATATATATATAAAGCAAATGGTAAAGTAAAAGTAAATTGGGCTGATTGGGCTTGAAAGCATGTCATGGAGACATGGGCAAGATTGGGCTTGAAAGCTGTTGTAAAAGAACGGAAGAAAGGCAGCGTCCATCATTTTTATTTTTATTTACTAATTATATTTTTTGGTTTATTATCACTAGGAGTTTGTCTTGGCCAGGCCTGCTTTCATTGTTGCACACAATCCCTATGGAACACTGTTCCCATGTAGTTAGTACAATATACCCAACAACTTTTGCCTCCAGAGGGTAGTTCAGGCATTGAAATAGTACATATCATCAAACATTTATTTATGTTGTGTTACTTTTCATGCCACTGATCTTATGTATGACCCAAAAATTGTTCTACTCTTCTATGATCCATGTTCTTTTGGTAAAAAAGGCTACCAATTTTATGTAAAGAACTAAAGCCTTTGTGGAGACCTTAAGCTTTTCTTGGTGTTTGGCATTCACTGTGTAGAATGAGGAGGATAAAAGATAACTTAGTGTGGGGACTTTTTGTTTCTTATTCTTTTCTTCAAAGAACCTTTTTGTTACGTAACCCTTGCTATCAATGTCCAGAGATCCAACCATTGTTGCTTTTAGCACAAGAACTCTCCACCATCCAACTTTCATTCCTCAAATAAAATCTCCATAGAAATCAAGGTTGAGACTTGGTGACCCATAGCCAAAATACACCATGGCAAAGAGGCCATCCCATGCCATACTATTGAGTCTAAGGAATAAATCACATCTCAATTCCTATCCATGCCTACATCTCACCAATCATTAAGAGAGATAAATATTGATTTTATTTGTAATATTTTTTCTAATTTGCCAAAGGGAAGTGGGATGAGACTCCCACCATGTGTAGGGGTCCCTCTTCATATTGAGGGAGGGGGGCCACACCCAACAGTAATGGCATGGATTGTGAGAGTTGCAAGGAAGGGAAAGAAAAAGAAATAGACAAAAAACGATAAGCAGAGGGGGAAGGTGGGGGATATGTTCCGGCGTGGAACCGTCGAAGAGCTGCACACGCCTAGCGACGACGCGCGCGCGCATCGTCGTCGTCGCGGGTGTCGGGCCTCGCGACTCGGGCGGCGTGACGAGCTGACACTGCGGCTGCGAAAGAGGCCATGTAGTCAGCCAGCCAATTTCCATGAGAGGGAGAGACGACGCGGTGGCGACGCCACGCAGCAGCCAAGCAGGGAATTGGCAACACAGGGAATCAGTCTCACTCACTCACTCACTCACTCACTCACGTCCCTTTCCCCTTCTCTTCGCTTCCGTCACGCCCGAGCTCGGGTCGCGCGGCACAGAATACCCGTCGAGCGAGCGAGCTCGTAGCCTGGAGCTGCTGATGCGGGTGCTGTGCTGTGCTGACCAGGGGCCCGTTTAGCAGGACAGGGCCATGCACGACATCCACCTGAGTGCTGCTGTTGGTCATGCCCCTCCTCCTCCTCCCCCCACCATGCCTCTCTTTTTCTCTCTCTCTCTCTCTTTGTGTGTGTGTGTGTGCCCATCTTCTTCTTCTTCGCCTTCTGCGCCACTCTCTTTCCCAGAAGACACCAGCACATGCCGTGTCATGTCGTGTCGTGTCTCTATCCACCACATCCCTTCGTGCACCCGCTCACATTGACCACCACCTCTTACGTCGTCACTGGTGGTGGCGATCACCTTCTTGGCCGTGCTGGTGAACGTGAAGGGACATCTTGTCGCTGTTCCAGCAATATTTTGGGAATGCTGTAGGAAACGAGGAGTCCAGTGTTTTGGTTGTACTGACGTGCCGCGCATGAGTTCTTTGGTCTGCAGCTGGGTTGGTATTGGGGGGAGGGGGGGGGGGGATGGATTTCGTGGGTGGTCGATGAGGAGTGATTGTTTTCCTAAACAACGTTTGTGTTTTCTGGTGTGTGTGATTCAGCGGATGTGAGGTGGCGCTTAGTCGCGTGTAGCATCCACATTCTCTCGGGTGGGTCAGCTGGGGTTTCGCGGTTTGTAAGGGTTGGGGACTTGTTTCGACGAGAATCAGCTGATCGAGCGTCGTGGCAAAGTGTCGTAGTGCCGGATAGCTGCCTTGACATTTGTGGCCGATTTGGGCTGCTGTAGTTTGTTCCAGTGGTAGCCTTGGGGGTCCGCCTTCGTCGGGTTTACTTTGAGACATGACGGCTCTTTTGTCCCAGAAACCCTTGACACTTTTTGCGTGAAGTGGGATTGATTTCGTCGTCTTGGTATTTATGGGCTTGCAGTTCAGTTGTTCTCTTGATGGTCCCTCGGAGCATAATTCTGTGAAGGGATTTTGAGGCAAAAGTCTATTGCTTGAGAGTTAGTAGACTTAAGGATTATGGGCAGTTACTTGCTGGAGGTATTCTGAACTTCTGGCTGCTGCAGAAGTTTGATACATGAAGCGAACCTGTGGATACATACCCTCGCAAAGTCAGTAGCTGCTTGTCGTCTTCTGCTTCAAGCTGTGACTCAACTGTACCAACAACTAATGCTTGACTGGTTTCAAAGTACTGAGTACTCGTCTAAACTGCATGCTTTGCCATTTGTAGCGCCCAAGGCATAATCATAACGTCTTTAGTCGGAGCAGAGCGACTGGTTTTACTGGGAACCGAACTCGCAGCTACTGAAACCGCAAGAAAGTTCATCACAAAGTGAGGTCGCACATCCATCATCTCATCGAAACCTCGCAGATCGACTGCAGGCACAACTTCGAATTTGGACGGATGCTTGTATTGCAACCTAATCCAAGATGCTGTGAAAGCCGTACAGAGGCACCGTACGAGTTGATTAGAGCAAATTATACAACTGAGGAAGTTCTGCCGCTCCTCTGATTGCTCGCAGTGCACAGTGGTGCTAGTTTTAATGCGAATTTGTAAATTAGCGCCTGCATTTAACTGCAGTTCGCTACCCAGTTGCCAGTGTGTCACGGCGCATGACATTCGGTAGAGTCAATCTCAAGTTTCGGAAGAAAAGCTTGCACGTGATAGTATTGCTGAATCACTCTCTGCTGTCTGCATCAAGAGCTTAGGTTAAGCCCAGTTTGGCTACAAGTTGGACATTTTGTGGGCCTCCGGAATCTTGCAGAAGCAGACATTGCAATTACACTTCAGAAGTACAAGGACCATCTAGTTCTAAAATTTACATCCATCAACCTCAGCGAAAGCCCGCTTTGTCCTTCTCATGAGCAGAAAACCTTGGTTTAAGGATTGTGATTAGCGGAGCACGCTCATTGCAAGGTACTGATGGAAACGTTAACAGTGGCCGTGTGAACGTTGATCCAAGTGCATACTTCGAGCGAACTGTCGTGCGTAACAAGCGTTCGGTGCTGGCAGAGGGGGGCACGCGACAATTTAAGACTGCTCAGTTATAAACATGCAGGTCGGCAATCAGAGCTTTGAACAAGGAGACAGCAATGAGGTTCGCAAATGCACTGTCCGAGGCTGCATTAAGTCAACCTCGGGACCATGGATAGTCCGCCGTCCTCCAGGAAAGGGTCAAGAAACAGCCGCAGCTGTGCTAAGGATGCCTTCCGCACGCGAGCGCGAGAACAACAAAAGGAGGGAGAGAAGGCGGCGTGCAATAGCCGCTAAGATTTTTGCTGGCTTGCGCACCCATGGGAATTATTGCCTTCCAAAGCACGCCGATCATAACGAGGTGCTCAAGGCCTTGTGTCATGAGGCTGGGTGGCAAGTGGAAGAAGATGGCACAATTTTCAGGAAGGTGAGTATGCTTATTAATGCACACTACTCACTCCGTAATGTGACAGATGATCACCTGCCGCAGAGTCACATACTTGTCACGTTCCAGATCAGTTGTTGTGCCATCGAATGGATTTTGTTTATTCCTCGCCGTCATTTACCTTATAGCCTCGGGCGTGAGCAAGCGTGAAAATCTGACAATCTGAGTTTTCGCACTGAGCAGTAATGTACATACGTGGTTACTGATCCAGTGAGCTTTTAACAATCGAGTGGCATCCCACACAAATGTAGCAACAATTGACAACGTATTAGACACGGGATCAGAAATGGTGGCTGCACATAACCTAGTTCATGTCACTGTCGGGTAAATTAAGTCGTCGTACTCATGATATGCATAGTGCATATGCACCACTTGCCCCGCGAACATGTTCCACTGAATAGTTTATCCTCATGATTGTTATTCTACTGCCCGGATCATGATCACTGGCTAAACAACTTTTCGCCTGTCATCTCTCAAGTGTTGAAATCAAGTTATTCGTAAATTTTGTAAAAAACAGTCACACAATTGTATCAACACAATTGCACTGAGACAAAAAGAAAAAGAAGAAGAAGAAGAAGAAGAAGAAGAAGTACAAGAAGACGAAGAAGAAAGAAACGGCGAAAACTACGTAGTAATGCACCATATATGTAGCAGCCTAGTCGAGGGTAATGTGTTCTCTCAGATCATTAGAATTTGTCCAGAAGAGACTCTTTACGTGAGGTAGTGAGAGAGTAGAAGTTTTGCGACTCCAAGCCAGGTCTACTCGACGGTGGGATTGTTTCAGAAATGCTCACTTCCAATTTATGTCAGACTGTTCACTTTCAATTCGTCTGACATGTTTCAGGGGAATCAAATCTAGAAACTACCCTAACGAGACCCTCTGCGTTACTGCAATGACGAGCAGTGATAGATAGTTTGGGATTAAATGACCAATTATTGTTACTCGAAATTCCTGACAAGTCCGAGGAGAGGGTTGGATCTTACGTGTAGCTTGTACTTGCAACGGCCTGCAGACAATATGAAGTCCTACCACGTAGTTCCGTGTGAGCTTGACCCTACGACATTTCTTATATTACGTTTACTCTTTTTGTGCAGGGATCGCAGCCCTCTCCTAGGCAAGTAATGACTGCACAGAAAACTCCTGAAGGCACGCCATCGTGTGAGAGATCCTTCAAGTCAGATACTAGCCCCTCAACCTCGTGCAGCCAAGCTGGGCAAGCTAGTGATGAACCCACGTGCACCGCTAGGAGCGACGCTGCTGAAGTCAGGCAACTTGGGAGAACAAGTGTGGATTTTCAATATGAAGATAATAGACAGTACCTTGATCCGCTCACCAACTTGCAAACGATGGTAGATCATGCTTCGGCTGGGCAAGCAAGAAACACTCATCCGAATTGCGGTGATTCTAAAAATAGGCTAGGTTGGAAGTCTGGACCGGTTTTTCTTCTTCCAGAGCAAACGGTGAGCTTGCGTCATCTGAGTAATTTGAACGATCCTCCAGTACCTACGAGCTCTGGAGCAGAAGATGATCGCTACGTGTGCCCAACCCGGGCGGTGAAGAACGAATGGGAGACGACACATGGTATTTCAAATGCATTTTGTTCAGGATTACGTACTATGGGCAAGACCTCTCTAATAACGTCTGCTTCGGAAAAGGACGTTTCTTCTGGTATGAATTTCCTCCTTAAATATAATTTTACATGTCTGTTATGCAGCTAAAACAGCTTATACTTTCTTGAGCATGTAGTGTTTTCTTAGGGGGAATGGATCTGGTCATCAGCCAGACGACAATGTGACTCGAATTGCTCAGCAATCGACATAAGTGTACACTGCTTGCATTTGCAGTTCTCAATGCAAGCGGTAGACATGATCTTTCCAGCAGAATCACTAACTCAATCGCAATGCATGCCTGAAGTCTAATGCAACAGATCTTCACTGTCATAGGAGCTCATGAACTTAATTTGAGATCGCTGATTTTTTCTTCCCTGCCAGCACTAGTATTCGGAGTTTCGGCTGAGAGGGCTATTTGGATGCTGTATAAAATATGATTTTAAAGGAAATTGAACTGAATGTTCCTTTCATTTCTTTTGACGTGCATCTGGCTACAGGGCATGACAAGTTATCCCCTACCCCCCATTTTGCGGCCACCATGAATTCTGTAGACCTTGATCGATCGCTCGAATGCAGAAGCCCTCTAGGTGTGCTGGATCACACTACGCAGCTAGAACGCGATCAGCCGAATTCACACTTTAGTGTCCAGAGGCGTGGTGATTTCACTTTAGGACCTCTACTTCAGAGGAAAACCCAAGATCCTGATGTAAGGAAGCATTTCACATTGTTTCCAAAAGCTGCTGACTTGCTTCGCCAGTCTCATAAGGAACAAGGGGATCAATACTCATGCCTCACACATGAAATGGTAGATCTGACTGACGAAGCATACGAGTCTCCTCAAGATGGTCTCTTCTTATGCTCCGGACGCGCTGCAGCTACCATGAGCACAGGTTCTACTCGAGTTAACTTGCACCCAGTAAATCTAGTGAACGAGCGCGGAGGAGCATCAAGTATCTCAAATCAACACAGAAAGACTAGTGCAGATGGACATGCCAGGAGGGAAATTACTGATGAACTGGCATTGACACTGTGCACTTCGGCGAGACATTCTCACAGCTCAGAGTTAGGCCGAGTGGCCTAACCAACCATAATGCTGAATGTGATCATGCCTGTAAGAGTTTCCCTTCAGTCCAACATTGTCACCTAGTCTAGATCATGCGTTCCAGTCAGAGTGAATCATGCAGTTGAGAAAATTTGTGTTTTAATCTACACCTCAGCTATGTATTATAGCCAAAGTCCAGGCTGTGGCAGTTGATGATCTTAAAACTGAGTATGAAACGTTCCAAACTAATGTTGGGGAGCTTGCCAGGGAGTATTTAACGTTCTCGCGATTGAATGTCTCCGAGTGAGTAAGCCAGGATCCACCTTCTTAACACTTTTTGTTTTGTTTTGTATTTGGTTTTTTATTTCAATACATGTTTTTGGACGTTAGGTATTTCATTATTAGAGCTAGGAGTTTACAGGATAATACAGCTTATATCTGTATGGAGATTGCTGTTGTCTTTGACTTCACCAACCTTTCAACGAGTTTACTATCGTTATCGGTCTCAAACTTCGTAATTAAATTATCAACACTCCTGTTTTTTACTGAGATTTATCAAAGCTGGGTCACAGATCTTTTTATACTGTTTTATATGCGCAGTGTGTTGTATGATATCAGAATTATTCTTGCATGACTATGAATTATGCTCGAAGTTGGCATCAGAAAAATTCAAATTGAGGTCATGCATTATGTACTGTAACATGTTTCAAAGGATGTTTGTGATTCAGGATATGAGCATGGTTAGAATCATCATGGATGTTCTTATTATTAAATAAAACAGTCCTTCTGAAGCTGTGCATTTTCCATGCTCGAAGTTTGAATACATGTTCATCAACATACCTTAATTGTATCGATATCAAACGGTAAATATAGAACTATCCTGAATGTTAAATACTCTTCTAAACTACTATTACCTAACACTTTTCAATGAAGACATTTACATACATATATTTATATATAAACGGAAATAAAAAAGAGATCAAAAGATTTTTTATTCTTTAATCTTTTTTCAAAAGTTGTAATAATTTTAATATTAGTAATTTTATTTCATTGGTAATTTATTTAAATATTATGTTTAATTTTTTATTATAATATAACTTTTATTAATGCAATATTAATTATTAAACTATTTAATATCAAAACTTTATAAAAGATTTATAATTGCTTGAGTTGAAGCAAAAGAGAGGAAAATCTTCTCCCTCAAAATATGTTGGTGACTTTTTAAACCAATTTGCTTACACTCAATTTGATTATAAAAAGTGTTTGCTACTTTTCTTTTATGATGAGTTGAGTGTGGTAACTAGAAAGAATTATTGTGAAAGAAAAAAATATTCCCACCAATATTAATGATGCATTTATCTTGGCATTACAATTGGAGCTTAAGAAGCAAGAAATTGGACATAGTGATCAAAGTATTTTCACTAAAATTTAGGAAGAAAAGAATAACTCATAAAGAGGAGCCAAGTCATTCTATAAAAAAAAAAAAAAAAAAAAAAAAAAAAACACTTTTCCTCAAAAAGACTTTTGAAAAAAATGCTTCACAACTTCCTAAGCCCAAAACCAAAGAAAGCTAAGGTAGCAACAACAAAAAGCCCAAGACAAGTTTAAATAATATGAGTTGTTTCAAATGTCAACAAAAAGGACACTATGCCAATGAGTGTAAGCATAAAGAAGTGCCAAAGAAGGCAAGTAGAACTTCTAATGCTTCTTTCAAATTAGAAACTCATGACAAAAAAAAGAAGTCAAAGACAGTCCTCAAATCATGAGTTTGAACCAATAGATCTTGATAAGAGAAGAAAGATTTGAAGAGAGAATCACTTTGAAAATTCTTTATAAAAAATTCATCTATTTTAGTTTTAAAGTTGTTAACAATAAAGTTTCTATGTTGATTGACAAAGGAACGATCAATTTATTTAAGAGTACAATAAGTGCCAAAAGATTGAACTTGACTCATGGACAAATCAAGCAAGTATAAGGTCTCTTTTATACAAGGTGGAAAAGTGACCAATATGATGGTGAAGGATGCAAAGTTCAAATGTGAAAACATAAGATTTCAAGAAGACTTATATGTATGTATGTATGTATGTATATATATATATATATATATATATATGGATATATATATATATATATTTTGAATATAGTAACTATGTATGATAAATCCTTATATCTTATTGTTGAGCTTTTCAAACCAAATATTGGATTATTTAGAAGAATATTTCTTTTACAAACCTAACAATTATTTTTTGCTTTATTAGATAATTTATTTTAGTTGTTACAATTTTGTATATATATATATATATATATATATATATTATTTAAAATAGATATCTAACTTAAAATCTTTTGTACCTAATTAGAAGCTTTTTACTCCTACTTACTTTGTCAAAAAAAATAAGTTGATGTTTTTTAAAAAAAATTGAGTATGTTTTGTCTTAAAAGACTAATATGTAGCCTTACACCATGTCTTACATTCTTTTATCACAAAGTAATTGTATTCTATGTCTGCCATTATCAAAGATTCTTAATTATTACGGCCAAAAGATTAAACTTGATCAGCATAAAATCCCATATTTTGAATCTAAATCTTAATTAAAAAATTCTTTTAGGCAAGTTTGGTCTTTTATTTATATTTAAAACAAAAATCTATTGTTTATTATTACTATTTTCTATACTTTCACACAAAAGAAATTATAAATATATTTTTATTTTCTAGACCTGGATTAAAATTAAAAGATACAGATATGTACAGACACAACATCAACATTTGCAAAAAGAGTGCTTTGTCTCCAAAAATTAGATTAGTTGGATTCCTACAGGGATCTTTTTTAGAGTTCAATGCACAACTCTTTAGAATTTTTCTTCTATTATAAAACATTTTCTAATACACACAAGATACATCAACAATTTTATTTTATTTTATTTATTTTTATAAAAGGTATAAAATTTATTAATTCTCAAAAAATGAAAATTTTAACACAAATATTTACACACTGAAAGAAAAAACATATGCACGCATATATAGTGAAGGCTATGTAGCACCTAACACAAGTATAAATGTAAGATATGGTATAAAGCTACGAGGAATTAGGATGCATACGACTCGTGCGTGTCGGTGGAAGCTGCCGAACACCCAGGTTCTGCAGGAAACGGTGGCCGTAGAGAGGTGGGTCCTGTGAGTCCGCTGCACAAACTGATCCTGCGATGGCCTAATCCTTCCTGATCTTCATTGCATCAAGGGTTGCTTGGTTGCGTCTGTAGCGGATGCAGGCGTAGTACGACCTTGCAGGTGACGCTCTTTGATGAACTATCTGAATGTCCACGAGCGGGAATTAACGGCGACAAGCGCTCAGCCATGCCACGATCAGATCTGCGGTGCGATGATGACACTGATAATATGAAAGAAACGGAGGAATCTTGAGATATGAACCATTCTCTAGCCTGATATGCCAGCAGCAGCTATAGCTTTATCTTATGTAGAATTCTTGATGTTCGCCTTGAAAGCCTTCGTGGCACAGCTTCCCAATTGAAGGACACTGGGGGAGAACGTTTGTCGAAGACGACGCATTTTCGTGTCTCTGTGCTTCTCTTTGTCCTTTCAGATGTCCCAGAGATCAGTTTCGCATGCACAAGAATCTGTTGGTCGCAAGCATGTGGAAAACTGTAATCTTTCGAACTCTTGATCATCGCGATATATTCAAAATCACTGCAGGACTTGAAAGGTTAATCTACATTGCCAGCTTGAATTTTACATGAGAGTACGAAACTCGGAAAAAGAGGTGTAAGAGTTTCTGTACTGATCAGTAGCATGCTCACATGGTTAAGCCAGAAGATATACCCTAGTCAAGGACTGTAACAGCGCTGGACCAATTGCAGTGTAAAACATCTTCCAGGGAAACAACAATAGATGCAATACTCGCTTGATGCACAGCCTACGACATGTGACATGAGACAAGATGAAGTTGAAGAATGACCGTAAGACTGCACTACGAATACTTGCGGTGATGACGCCAAAGTTTATTCTAGATAAAACTCTATAGCTAGTCATCAGAATCTGCTAAATTCGCTTACAGTGGTGGTGAGGATGCTCTGAGAGTTTACAAATATCTCAGCCTTAGCTGTTCACACACACAGGCCATGGAGCAGGACTCGTGACGGTTCTTCATACGAGCCAGAGGCCAGACTGAACGTCATTAAATCAACAACACTATTCCATGGTGCCCCGCAGCAATTAACAATGAGTATTAATAATCTGCAATGTACCCTGTCTAGATAAACTGAACGCTGACTGTTATTTGGTCTCATTATGGATCTCTCAAAATTCTTCAATTTCCAGGATAGAACCATGTCTGTTGCACTGTAGTTGTAACGTTCCGTACGTAGTTTCCTTACGAAGTTGCTCAGATTTCACTGAAAAATGCGAAGTCGGTCAGCCACCCCAACAGAAATGGTTTAGTGAAAGGTGGGTTTTACTGTGTGGAGTAGCTGTAAAGGTTGAGGGCGGCATAACCGTGCTCAGCTCACCACCTACTTGAGCAACCATGATGTTTCTGAATAAATGCACTGTCTGCTCAGACGACTTAGCCGTGTAAGTATCCGAGGGACTTCATGAATGCGTTCTAGAAGGTCCAACATGACATTGTCTCAGTCTGATTTTGAATGATTTCATCGGGACTGTAAGCATGTGAGTAGCACAGCGTTGATGAGTTAGGATCTTTAGTCTCAACGAGCACAGTTGGAGCAAGTTCCAGTTGTCCAATGTGACACATTATGAATCATAAAGTTGCAAAATTATGTTGTGGCGGACGGTTGCGTTGCAGCCATCAGATAGGAAAGAGGACATGTCATTGTTGTGAAATATGGGGAATCCACATATCAACCTCTGCCAAGTTAAAGCTGGCTGGTAGCAGGTATCAGAGAAGGCAGACATGAAAAACGCATGAAACGTCAATGATGCATGAACTCAAAGGGGAAGGTTCAGCATCTGGAGATGTCTCTGACTGAAAGGCTAGTTCTCACAACCTCAGGAACCTTGATGCTCCTTGCAAACGCAAAAACCAGGAGGGCTGGCCTCGACAACTCAACTCGTGTCAGTGATGCAGCGCATATGAAACCTGTAACACAGCTCTGGCGGCAGCTACAACTCGCTGAAAAGTCACAAAAAGCGTTAGTTAAGAAAGGAGCCGTTGAGTATAGAAATTAATGGAAAATTGTACAGACTTGGATGCATAGCCATGTGACCGTTTTATCTCCGACTCTGAACATCTGAATAATTTGTATGGATTGGGTTTAGCTGATGGCGGGGGAAACTAAGTCATCCCACCTAAAATGTTGTTGTTTGCAGTCAAATCACATTGAAATACTTGTCAAAGGCTGCAAGTGAATCATCTGACATAGCGGCCGTCAGACAGATCAAGCAGAAGGTCGTAAGCCACTTTCTTGTTTTTCTACTTCTTTTTTCTTTTGATTTTTTGCTCTGTCAGTGGGTTGCAAAAGCTCATTTGATTCAGATCCACCACCAAGAAATCTGCTCAAGGCCTTTTTTGGTTTGGAATGCCAACCTGGGGCTTCTTTAGAATTATGTCATA